TGTGCCCAGAACCAGGGGTCACAGCCTGAGGATTCGGGGTAGACCATTTAGGACAGAGATGAGGAGACATTTCTTCACCTGAAGAGTGGTGAGCCTGTGGAATTCATTACCACAGGAAGTAGTTGATGCCAAAACATTGAATGTATTCAACAGATAGTAGGAACTGCAGATGCTGGAGAATCCGAGACAACAAGGTGCAGGGCTGGATGAACACAGCAGGCCAAGCAGCATCATAGGAGCAGAGAGGCTGACGTTTCGGGCCTAGACCCTTCATCAGAAAAGGGGGAGGGGAAGGGGGTTTTGAAATAAATAGGGAGAGAGTGGGAGGCGGATAGAAGAGGGATAGAGGAGAGGATAGGTGGAGAGGAAACAAACAGGTCGAAGAGGCGGGGATGGGGCCAGGAAAGGTGAGTGTAGGTAGGGAGTTAGGAAGGGGATAGGTCAGTCCAGGGAGGACGGACAGGTCAAGGGGGTGGGATGAGGTTGGTCGGTAGGAGATGGAGGTGCTGCTTGAGGTGGGAGGAGGGGATAGGTGGGAGGAAGAACAGGTTAGGGAGGCAGGGACGAGTTGGACTGGTTTTGGGATGCGGTGGGGGGAGGGGAGATTTTGAAACTTGTGAAATCCACATTGATACCATTGGGCTGCAGGGTTCCCAAGCGGAATATGAGTTGCTGTTCCTGCAACCTTCGGGTGGCATCGTTGTGGCACTGCAGGAGGCCCAGGATGGACATGTCGTCTGAGGAATGGGAGGGGGAGTTGAAATGGTTCGCGACTGGGAGGTGCAGTTGTTTGTTGCGAACCGAGCGTAAGTGTTCTGCAAAGCGGTCCCCGAGTCTCCGCTTGGTTTCCCCGATGTAGAGGAAGCCACACCGGGTACAGCGGATGCAGTATACCACATTGGCAGATGTGCAGGTGAACATCTGCTTGATGTGGAAAGTCTTCTTGGGGCCTGGGATGGGGGTGAGGGAGGAGGTATGGGGGCAGGTGTAGCACTTCCTGCGGTTGCAGGGAAAAGTGCCGGGTGTGGTGGAGCTGGAGGGGAGTGTGGAGCGGACAAGGGAGTCACGGAGAGAGTTGTCCCTCCGGAAAGCAGATAAAGGTGGGGAGGGAAAGATGTCTTTGGTGGTGGGGTCGGATTGCAGATGGCGGAAGTGTCGGAGGATGATGCGTTGGATCCGGAGGTTGGTGGGGTGGTACGTGAGGACGAGGGGGATTCTTTTTTGGTTTTTATTGCGTGGACGGGGTGTGAGGGATGAGGTGCGGGAGATGTGGGAGACACGGTTGAGGGCGTTCTCGACCACCGAGGAGGGGAAGTTACGGTCCTTGAAAAACGAGGACAACTGAGATGTACGGGAGTGGAATGCCTCATCCTGGGAGCAGATGCGGCGGAGGCGAAGGAATTGGGAATAGGGGATAGCATTTTTGCAGGAAGGTGGGTGGGAGGAGGAGTATTCTAGGTAGCTGTGGGAGTCGGTGGGCTTGAAATGAATATCGGTTTCGAGGTGGTTGCCCGATATGGAGACAGAGAGGTCCAGGAAGGGGAGAGAGGTGTTAGAGATGGTCCAGGTAAATTTAAGGTTGGGGTGGAAGGTGTTAGTCCAGGTAAATTTAAGGTTGGGTTAGGGTATTCAAGAGGCAGCTGGATATAGCACTTGGGGTGAAGGGGATCAAAGGTTATGGGGAGAAAGCAGGATTAGGCTATTGAGTTAGACAATTATCCATGGTTGTGAAAAATGGCAGAGCAGGCTCGAAGGGCCGAATGGCCTCCTCCTGCTCCTATCATCTATATTTCTATATTTTTATCTAGCAATTCAAGACTGGGCATCTCTGAGGTGTTGTGCGCCATCAACAGCAGCAGAATTGTACTCCAGCACAATCTGTAACCTCATGGCCCCTCATATCCCCCCTCAATCATTACCATCAAGCCAGGGGACCAACTCTGCTTAGACAGAGCGAGGCACACAAGGTTACGACTGCACAGGAGGTGCACAAAAAGCAAGATCAATATTAGATTTGAAATTTAAGAGGTCGATTCAGCAGTCTAATTACAGTGTTGAAGAAGCTTTTCTTGAACCTGTTGGTGCGTCTGTTCAAACTTCTGCATCTTCTACCTGACATAAGAGGTTGGATGAGATTATAACCGGGGTGGGAGGGGTCTTTGATAATGTTGGCAGCCTTTCTAAGGCAGCAAGAAGTGTAGATGGAATCCATGGATGGAACGTTGGCTTGCGTGATGGTCTAGCCTGTGTTCACAACTTTCTGCAGTTTCGTACAGTCCTGGGCAGAGCAGTTGTCATACCAAGCTGTGATGTATCCAGATAGAATGCTTTCTATGGTGCATCTGTAAAAGTTGGTGAGGGTCCTTATGGACATGCTGAATTTCCTTCGCCTCCTGAGAAAGAAGAGGCACTGTTGTCCCTTCTTGACCGTTGCATCCATGTGGAAAGTCCAGGACAGATTGTTGGTTATTGTCATTCTTAGGAATTTGAAGCACTCGACCCTCTCCACCTCAGCTCCATTGATGTAAATAGGCGTGTACTCTCCTCCTCGCTTCCTGAGGTTAATGATCAGTTCTTTCATTTTGCCGACATAGAGAGATTGTTATCTTTGAACCATGACACCAAGCACTGTATCTCCTTCCTATATACTGACTCATCATTGTTTGATGTCCGGCCAGCACATTGATGTCGTCAGTGAACTTGTAGATGGAGTTCAGATGAAATTTGGTCACACAGTCAGGAGTGTATAGGGGAGTAAAGTAAGGGGCTGAGTATGCAGCCTTGCAGGGCACCAGTGTTGAGGATTGTCGTGGAGGAGGTGCTGTTGCCTATCCTCACTGATTGTGGTTTCTGGGTCAGGAAGTCAAGGATCCAGTCACAGAGGGCGGAGCAGAGACCAAGGTCTCAGAGTTTCGAGCTTAGGCAATTAAACAACAGCTATACGGTGAGGCTGAATAGAATCACAGAATCTCTACAGTATGGAAGCACGCCATTGGGCCCATCGAGTCCGCATTGCCCCTCCAAAGAGCATCCCATCCAGATCCACACTCTTACCCTAGCCATATAATACTGTATTTCCCTGGCTAACCCACCTAACCTGCACATCCCTGGACACTACAGACAACTTAGCATGGCCAATCCACCTAACCTGCATATCTCTGAACTGTGGGAGAAAATCCACGCAAACACAGGGAGAATGTGCAAACTCCACACAGATGCTCGCCTGAACGTAGACTCACACCCAGGTCTCTGGCACTGTAAACCAACGGTGCTGACCACTGACCCACCATGCAGCCTGGGGCTATTTTCCCTGGAATGTTAAAGGATGAGGGGTGACTTTATAGAGGTTGATAAAATCATGAGGGGCATGGATAGGGTGAATAGCCAACTTTTTTTTTACCAGGATAGGTGAATGCATAACTAGACGGCATAGGTTTAAAGTCAGAGGGAAAAGGGGGACCTGAGGAGCAACTTTTTCACACAGAAGGTGGTGTGTGTATGGAGCAAGCTGCCAGAAGAAATGGTGGAGGCTAGTACAATTACAACATTTAAAAGGCATCTGGATGGGTATATGGATAGGAAAGGTTTAGAGGAATACGGGCCAAATGCTGGCAAATGGGCCTAGGTTAATTTAGGATATCGGTCAGCATGGATGAGTTGAACCAAAGGATCTGTTTCCAAGCTGTACAACTATATGATTCTATAACTACAATCATCTTTCTATGTGCCGGGTAGGCTCTAACTAGCAGAGTGTGTGCCCCTGGATTTCCATTGACTCCAGTTCTGCTTGGGCTCCTTGATACCATGCCTGGTTGAATGCGGTCTTGATGTCAAGGGCTGGCGTTCTCAGCTCACCTCAGGAATTCAGTACTTTTGTCCATGTTTAAACGTGGACAGTGCTGTCATTGACACATTTGTTATGGTTGCCAAGAGGTGATTTGTATGTCTTCTTCCTACTATATCATCTCCTGTCTGTATGAAGTAGGACATCAGTTCAGTGTGTGCTACTATGATGGCTGGTACCCACTCCTCACCAGCATGTAATTCCTTGCCTTCACTTCTTGACATTTTTGGTAAATGTAGCTTTTGATCCTGTTCTCTTATTGGAAAACCTTGATTCTGTTGTTTCCTGTCAACAAACTCTTTTGCCACAGGTGGTTTCAGTAAACCAGATGCTGCATGCAACTGACGCTTTACCATGAGCAATGCTGGAGAAGTTTGAGCCGTCAAGTGGGTTAATTTCTGGTATCATCAATTTTTTGGACAGTGATCCTTGTTCTCAAGTTATCTTGAAGGATGTTTCATTGTCTGAACAAATTTTTCTCCCAAACCATCTGTGACTGGGTGATAAGGAGATGATTGGCTCACATAACTAGGGCTGTGGTTAGAGCTATGAACTGAAAAGTGTGGGATGGAGGTGGGGAGGAGTTGAACAATTTTAGAGCTTGAAGCACCTTCTCCCATGTCCTTACCCCAACCCCAACAACCCAGGTCTTGTTGTCACATTGTCTGCTATTACACACATTGTTAGCCACTAACAATCCCCATTAGCAGCTATTCGTTCTCTTAGGCTGATCGTTATCCACTCCTTTGTCTGTCCAACTATTCTTCTCTCTCCTTGGGCTCTGTATCCACTTATTGTCTACTCCTTACACCGTCCTCCCACCCTATCTTCTGCATAAGAACCAACCTTTTCCAAGCTGTCATCAATTCTTAAGAAGGGTCACCGAACCCGAAACATTAACTCTGATTTCTTTCCACAGATGCTGCCAGACCTGCCAAGTTTTTCCAGCAATTTCTGTTGATAGGAAATAAGTTCTACTCCTACTCCTATATCTCATGAGTTCTTTTGTTCATTCTGAATGAGCCTTGAATATTTTGGACCATACAGACTTTGCATTTCTAACATCTGTACATTAACTGCTTTATAAACTGATCAGGTCTCTGTCACACTTTCTCAGTGGTACAAACACTGCTGGCTTATCTTTTTTGCTCAACAGACTGCTGTTTATCGCGTGATGACAAGGAGACACAATCCGAGGCAAATTACCTACCTGCTACAACATCACAAAGATCTGTTGAGGGGGGTATGGAGGAACTGGCAGCGGCTCTGCTTCCGATAAAGACTTCCAATACGGAGTTCGAGGAGTATGTGGAACATAAATTTCCACAGCAGATCATCACCAAATCGTTACCAAAATTGCAGAAAGCCAATTCGTTTGCAGGCTTTCAAAATGTTCCACACACAATTAGGAGATCCACTTCATTGATACTTGACTTGGCCTATATGCCTGGACAGTTCTTAAGCATGGAGGTTCCCACTGCATCGCGGTTAGCACTGAACAATCAAATTACACAACCATCAAAAGTATACTCTCAAAGTTCACCACAATTAGCCACTGACTCCCTAAGTACCCCACCATTCAACATTGATTCCTCATACTTATCACTGGCAGACACTAGCCTTCAGCAAACAGACAGTGACAATCAGGTTTCACCATCAAGAGATATTGATCTTCAGAGTCTATGGCCACCAAATGCTAACTTTCACAGTTCACCATCATCTGAAACTGACTTTCAAGGTACAGTGCCACCAGACCATGACCTTCAAAGTTCACCATCATTTGCTTTTGACCTTCAGGGTACCCATCCACCAGATATTGACCACTGGAGTACAACATCATCAGACACTTACTCTCATAGTTCATTTTCACGACACATTGACCCTTGGAGCTCACCATCATCTGATATCAGCTGTCAAACTCCACAGCAATCGGACACTGACCCTCTGAGTTCACTTTCATCAGAAACAGACTCTGTGATTCCATGGCAATTAAACACGGACTTACCTCATCTCTCTCTATCTGTTTGGTACTCCCCTAGTCTGTCATCGTCAGTCACAGATTCGTCCAACCTCTCAACACCAGTAACAATTTCCCCACATCTCCCATCAGTAATCATGGACTCCCCACATCTCTCACCATCAGTTGTGGAATCCCCAGATCTCCTGCCACCAATCACGGACGCTCACCTGGTCTGCCATTGCTCACGAGCTCCCAATATCTCCTGCCATCAGCCTTGGCCTCCCCAAGTTTCCTGCCATCAAACACTGACTTGCATTGTCCATGAACAACAGACATTGACTTCCCATATTTCTTGCTGTCAGTTATGGAATCCCCGCAAAACTTAGCAGTCATGAACTTCTCACATTCACTGCTAGTCATGGGCTGACTTGCCAAGTCTCTTGCCATTGGGCAATGACTTGCCACATATCTTGTCGTCAGTTATGAACTCCCTACATCATCCACCATTACTCACGATATTGTCATTTTCAGCAAACTCTCAGTCATAACCAGTGCTATCTGGCATATCTGTGCAATGATGTATCATGCATTAATCACAGAGAACAAAACTGACTGGTGTGCAGGTCTTTAAACACATTAGCTGCTGTGAAATGGAAGTAGTGCAGCCATTCACATGATAACTGGCTGTTGCCATTGACATCTCCACAACCAGAGTTCATCAGCTTATCAGAGCTGCAGCTACATAAAATTTCCTGATATTTTTCTCAGATACTGGAGATCTCCTCTCTCTCTAAAAGGGAAGAGATTGAAGCTCAGTAACAATACAACCATTTTTGATTTGTATTTTGTGTAGTTTCAGTTGATTACTGTACTCAAGTATAATGAAAAAATTTTGGCTTCAAGAAATTTTCCATATCTGAGACAATAAAATGAAGCTCTGCAATAAGGCATAATCTGACTGAAGTAAATGATGATATCTATCACCTAACTTCAAACTCACAATACGACAAATGATCAAATTATTATAAGTAAGTGGTATGATGAACAACCAGAAATGTTTGAAAAGTGGAGCAGAAACAACAGCATGAGAACATCCATAAATTGGACCAGAACATGCTCACATTTCGAACTAACATAAAAAGGGATGTGGCAAGTAATCAGGAAATAGGCAAATGAAGGGTAACCTAGAAATAAGCACATGGAGTTCAGCGAGGAAATAGGTACTTAGAGAGTAACCATAATATAGCAGCCTGGAGGGTAATCTTGAAATAAAAACATACAGACTGACCATGCAGTAGTTCAATGAACAATAATCAGGAAGTCATTACCATAGAACCCAGCCCTTTGGCCCAACAAGTCCACATTGACCCTCAGAGCACCCCACCCAGACCCATCCCCCTATAACCCACCTAATCTACACATCCCTGAACACTACGGGCAATTTAGCATGGCCGATCCACCTAGCCTGCACATCATGAACTGTGGGAGGAAACCAGAGCACTCGGAGGAAACCCAGCAGACACAGGGAGAATGTGCAAACTCCACACAGACAGTCACCGAAGGGTGGAATCAAACCCAGGTCCCTGGCACTGTGAGGCAGCAGTGCTAACCACTGAGCCACCGTGCTGCTCTGAAACAGTGATCGCATCGTCCCAGGGTGGTCCGAACCACGTATCTTTTGGTTAACGGCCAAACACGCTAACCAATTGCGCCACAGAGACTGGCAAAGTCTCTGGCAAGTTACATTGAAGGTAACTTGAAAATAGACACATAGAGTGTAACCAGAGAAAGATCCCCTGGAAAATAGTCAGGAATTTTTTTTAGAAAGCAAACTGTAAAAAAGTACATGGGAAGTGAACAGGAGATAGGGTCATAAAGTTCAATCAGAAACCAGTCAAATAGAAAGCAAAGAGGAAATAGTCATATGGAGTAATCTGGAAAAGCTCACACAAAGAGTGATTTGTAATAGGAGTAAGGGGCTTAACTAGGAATTAGACCAAAAAGACCTTGAAAATCAACTCAGAAATACATTGATGCATTAGGTACATGGCTAGTAACCACAGAATAGAAATCCAGAAATAGTCACATGGGAAAATATAAGGAAATAGGAACATGGATAACCAAGAAACATGGACAGTAAATGTAGTCAAGAAAGTTACACGAAAAGTGACCATGTATTAGACGATTGAAGAATAACCAGGAAATATTTACAAACGTAAAAATTGTGGATATAGATATACAATGATCATATTGTGGTACAGCACTGGAGAAAACAGATGTATCATTGTGTAACATCGGTACAGTTCTGATATTGCTGCAACACTGGAGTACAGTATATCTGTCACTACAGTGGATTTGATTGGAAATACAGCATGGAAACGGTCCACTGAGCTAAACCAGTCTATGCCAGCAGACCAGGCCCACCTTTCTTCAACTAAACCTATCATTGTAACCATGTATTCCTTTCTGCCTTATATGCTTGTTGAGCTTCCCCTTAAAAGCATCTAAAATATGTCTTAATCACTCCCTGTGGTACCAAATTTCCCATTCTTACCACAGTTTGTTGAAAAAGGTTCTTCTTAATTCTCTGTTGGATTTGTTGGTGACAATCTGTATAATGCCCTCTAGAACACAGAACTGAGCATCACAGGCAAGTTCATTCTAGTTATACTTTTCAAATTGTAAATATTTTCTCTGTATCGACTCTAACCAAAACTTTTCACAATTTTAAAGACATCTGTTAGGTCACCACTTAATTTTCTTTCTTCAAGAGAAAATAAACGCAGTATTCCAATCTTTAATGGTCTGCATAATTACACATTCTGGTTATCATTCTTGTAAATCTTCTCCACTCCATATCCACTGCCTCTGTCTGCTGTGTGTAATTTGGTACCCAGAACTACATTCAGTACTGTCTGTGATCTATCCAAGGTTTGTTACAGGTTAAGCATAACTTTTTTCAATTCTATTCCTCTAAAAATAAAGTCTAGTGTTTGGATTTCTTCTTCACGTTCTTGCTGGTACAACACTTTGTGATTGGTGTATTTGTATCTGAGATTGCTTTCTCCCTCGACCCCACATAGACTTGCACCAGCTCGGCGAGCCAACCAACCTCAACACCCACAACCCGAGCTACAGATCTACTCCAAAACCTTAGAGACTTGCACCTTCCAAGTAATAAGTGACTGTCCTATTCTTCAAACTAAAGTGCACAACTTTACACTTATCTGTGTTGAACTTCATCTGCAAATTGTTGCCAATTCTTCAAATTTATTAATGTCTTCTTGTAATTTGTTGCAGTCCTCCTCAGTATTGATTAGGTTGAAATCGGACACGGAGTAACTGTCTTATAAGCAAAGTTTGAGTAAGTTGAGCATGTGCTCATTGGAAATTAGCAGAACAAGAGGCAACCTTATTAAAACATACATGATTCAAAGGTTATGTGGAAAATGCAGGAAAGTGCAGTTGAGGATTATCTGATCAGCCATGATCTCATTAAATGTCTGAACAGACATGATGGACTGAATGGCCTACTCTGTTCCCATGTTTTATGGTCTAATTGACAATGACCCTGCCAATGTAGTGTCCTCCATTAATTAGAAACTGTACCTTTGATTCCAAAGTTTAACTGCTAATGTAAATTGTGACCAGTAATAGTCCTAGGACTTGTGTAAAACCACTTCCCGTTACTTTCACTCTCTGCTTTATGTCTCAAAGCAATCTGTTCTGGCAGTTGTCTCAAGACTCCACATTCTCTTAACATATTTATTCATTCATTTTGGAGCACATTTTTGAAAACGTTCTGAAAACCCAGATTGATTACGTCCACTGCATTGCTATTGTACTCTCTTCCTATTACCATAAGACCATAAGACATAGGATCAAAAATTAGGCCACTCTCTGGCTGAAGAAGTTTCTCCTTCTCTCCGTTCTAAAAGGTCTTCCCTTTAGTCTAAGGCTATGCCCTTGGGTCCTAGTCTCTCCTGCCAATGGATGCATCTTCCCAACATCCACTCTGTCCAGGCCATTCAGTATTCTGTAAGTTTCAATTAGAACTCCCCTCATCCTTCTAAACTCCAATGAGTATAGTCCCAGAGTCCTCAAACGTTCCTCATATGTTAAGCTTCTCATTCCTGGGACCATTCTTGTGAACCTCCACTGAACCCGCTTCAGGGCCACTACATTGTTCCTGAGATATGGGGCCCAAAACTGCACACAATACTCCAAATGTGGCCTGATCAGGGCCTTATAAAGCCTCAGTAGTACATCCCTGCTTTTATATTCAAGCCCTCTCAAAATAAATGCCAACATTGCATTTGCCTTCCTGACTACTGACTCAACCTGCAAGTTTACCTTGAGAGAATCCTGGGCTAGAACTCCCAAGTCTCTTTGCATTTCAGACTTCTGAATTTTCTCCCCATTTAGAAAATAGTCCATGCTTTTATTCTTCTTACCAAAGTGCATGACCTCATACTTTCCCACGTTGTACTCCATCTGCCACTTCTTTGACCACTTTCCTAAGGTGTCCAAATCCTTTTGCAACCTCCCTGCCTCTTCAATACTACCTGTCCGTCCACCTATCTTTGTATTGTCTGCAGCCAGAATGCCCACAGTTCCTTCATCTAGATCATTAATGTATAAAGTGAAAAGTTGTGGTCCTAACACTCATCTAACACTCAGGCCAATCAGTTTTGCAAGTAGCCTTTTCCTTGGTGATGGTCACCATACTCAGCTCTGCCCCCTGACTCTCTTGAATTTTTGGGATATTACTCGTGTCTTTCACCGTGAAGACTGATGCGAAGTAATTATTCAGTTCCTCAGCCATTTCCTTGTTCCCCACTACTATCTCTCCACCATCATTTTCCAGTGGTCTAATGTCCACTTTTGCCTCTGTTTTGCCCTTTATATATCTAAAGAAACTCTTACAGTCTTCATTTATATTACTGGCTAGCTTACCCTCATATTTAATCTTCTCCCTCCTTATTTCTTTTTTTGTTGCCCTCTGTTGGTCTTTATAAGCTTCCAATCCTCTGGTTTCCCACTGCCCTTCGCCACATCATATACTTTCTCTTTTGCTTTTATGCTATCCCTGACTTCCTTAATCAGCCATGGTTGCTGCATTCTCCCTGTACCATGCTTCTTTTACCTAGGGATGAATTTTTGCTGTGTCTCCTGAATTACTCCCAGAAACTCCTGTCATTGCTGTTCCACTGTTTTTCCTGCTAGGCTCCTCTTCCAGTCAATTCTGCTCAGCTCCTCCCTCATACCTCTGTAGTTGCCTTTATTCAGCCGTAATACCGTTACCTCTGATTCCATCTTCAGAGATATCTTCAAATTCAATATGGTTGGTCAAGCCTAAATGTAATAGAATTAAAATATAGGAGGACATTGATGACGGTGTATAGGATAGAGAATATGGAAAGGCTCAGGAATCAAACTTCAGGCACTGTAGATAAGGGGACAACTATGAGAAGGGGACAGTCAATGCAGGACTAAGGGTGCTCTACTGAAATGCATGCAGTATATGAAACAAGGTAAACTTTTTTTTCTTTATTCATTCACGGGATGAGGGCGTTGCTGGCAAGGTAGCATTTATTGCCCATCCTTAATTGCCCAGAGGGCAGTTAAGAGCCAACCACATTGCTGTGGGTCTGGAGTCACATGTAGGCCAGACCAGGTAAGGATGGCAGTTTCCTTCCCTAAAGGACATTAGTGAACCAGATGGGTTTTTCTGACAATCGACAATGGATTCACAGTCATCATTAGATTCTTAATTCCAGATATCTATTGAATTCAAATTCCACCATCTGCCGTGGTTGGATTTGAACTCACGTCCCCAAAATGTTACCTGGGTCTCTGGATTAACAGTCCAGCAATAATACCACTAGGCTATCACCTCCTATGTTTAAATGAGCGTCTAGTGCAGATTAAAATTGGCAGGTACAA